TGTTAATAAAACACAGGTATAACGTATGGCGTCCATTTATTGACTGACTGTCTGTACAAAATGTCAACTACCCCCAACCATGCTAATATTATATATATAACACAAGTATTGTCGTTTACGAGTAATATCAAAAATATATATATTTTCTGAATCCCGTGGCCTTGGGTTCCGTGGATTTTATGCCACCGAATTCAGAAAAGCTTCATCAACTGATGTGACCTTTGCTTCCGGATTCATTTTCTCGGAGGATGCGCTTGATGTCGGAGATTCGGAGCCCTTACCCTTGCCTTCACACTTCTTGACGTAAATGGTTCCACAGCTTGTCCAGCAGAATTTAAATCCTGCTTCTTTAACTTGTTTTCGGCAGTCGCGAAACAACAGTCGGTTTGCTGGAGTCAACCGTTCATTTATTTAGATATTAGTTGTAGTGGCGCCTTCAAACCCGACATCCTTGGCGGTTAACCTTACTTCCACGGCCGACTCGCTGAACGCAATCAACATCAGTCAGAAAGTTTCACGCCTATTAAGGAAGACATCGTTAAAATAATACGGTGAGGATTTTCATTCTGAGTTTCCATCATACCAGGGACTTAGATCTCGTTTCTTAACATGCTTTGTTCTTGGGAATTGAGTTTGACTTTCATTACATCGATTATGCATCGTAAGTCCTGTACTTCAGATGCTTTTTTCTTGGCTTGTTTTAAACGGATATCATAAGCGGACATTGCCATAGATAATTCATCTAATCTTGTTTCGCGACGATTAATTAATATAATAATTCAAATTCGATCTTCATTGACGAAACTTCCGCTCTTAGTAGCCTAATTTCGCCTGTTAGTTCGGACAGGGGTGAGGCTTCTTTGCTGTGACACTTCCAAGGGACTGCCTGGTTTTAGTTTTTTGTAGGTGATGTTCTCTGACGTTTTCACCGGAGTTGCCAAGTTGTCGCCCCCTTTCCCCATAGAACTACGGCAGTCTGGACAAACCCATGAGGCGTTAGTGTGGCCTCCCAACACAGGGATAGTGAAAGTTCTTGTCACATATATTTAGGGTACATTTGACGAATTTCTCATCCGTGATACTACTTTTGTAGCCGGCGCACAACAGACTCTGCTTAGACTTCATAATTTTTTGTACACACGCCAGCACATCAAGCTACACATTGACGTATCTTGTTCCGTTGCAATGAAGGCGATTTTCGAACAAAAATGTGTAGTCTGATGTGCCGTTGTCCGTACTACTGTTACAACAAACCAGTGGCGCTTCAATGATGCTTGTTTCAACAGAATAGATCTCACGGTAACGGTCCAAGCGACGTGGAGTGTGACTAACTGACAAGTAAGGTTGTCTGCGTGAAATGGATTGTATTTGCGTGAACGCTGCCGTAAATTTAATTATTTGTATTGGCAATACTACTTAATTGTCAGTCTGTCTACGCCCACAGGTGTCACACGTCCAATCAGCTGAGCACTATTATGGGATTATCTGTGATTTGCTGTGCTGGTGGAATGTGGTGAAAAGCTTCCCCCGAAGACGGAAAAAACTGCCATCGTTGTAAGTCAATGCATCGAAGCCATATTTTCTTTGAAAAGCAAGAATTTTAGACGTTTTTTCATGTAAATGTTTAGGTAATATTATTGATTTTCACAATTTTATATTACTACATGCTTCCCGCCAAAAACGAATAAGGAAAATCAAAACAGACAAAAAATCAAAGAGATCAAGAAGATGAAGGAACGTATAAAGATAAAAAGCGATCCAATTATACAATGTGTTGATTTGCATTCTCGCCATATTTACTTACTTATTATAGTTTCTGCTTACAAAGTTGTGGAGTCTAATGTTGAAACGAAACTCACAAAAAACTTTTTTCAGTCAACTTTTCTAATTAATGTAAATAAATAGTAAATTATAACATACTAGTACAGAATCATAATTAAAAAATTATCGCTCGGTGAAGCGGGTGGCGGGGTCACTGCCCTTGCGTGGTGCACACGAGTTGAGACAATTTTGCAAAACTTTACTAGATTCAATTAGCCAGAATATTGAACAGAATATTTTTTAAATATTTTTAGATGATTTAGCATTGTTTATATTATTAATTTCTTAAATATGGCGAGAATGCAAATCAACACATTGTATATGAAAAGTTTAAAAAAAAGATAGATAGAGGTATGCGAAGAAAAAGCGGAAGGAAATATTTTGAAGTTGCATGAATTAATTCGTCATGTATAGAAAGTAAGGAAAGAAATTAATCGCGCTAGTTCCAAAAAACTGATTACTTTTGTAGCTACAGATTGCGTTCTGAAATTTGTTTTAAAAGAGATACGGAAATACTTTGTGTAATTGAAAAAAGGCTGAACAGCCAAACTGAAAACTAATTTTAATTAATAGTCATAAGGTGAAATTTGTTTGCGTCATCCTGATCGATTTATAAATAAATTTTAGTTTTAACTTTAGTAAATGTTTATGTAGATTATTGAATGTTTTTATTGCCTTTTTCATAATACTTTATACAAAAATTAGGCCTTTTGTAAAATTATCTTGATTTCGGTGGTAGCTGAATTCCGTGGATCAAATATGTCATTACCTGTTAAGAATCTAGTTGCCCAAATAACGGAATCTTATGTAAGTTTGAGTACGTTTTCCTTCCCACTCAATGTTGTTCCTGAAATTAAGAAAAAAAATTCGACCACCGAAATCAGAGAACTTCTAGGAGAAACTATCAGAATATTTACCAACTATGTGAGTTAGAGATCGGAGGCGGAAGGATATTCTCCTATGCGGACGACACTGCCGTGGTTTTCACTGGGAAGACACGACGGGACGGGGACGCAGTAAGCGCACTGCTGAAACAGGTCTAGCGAAAATGGCTAATTGGCTTAATTCTAATCTCCTCACCCCGAACGTAACAAAAACAAACTATATTTGCTTTGCTCCCCACAAACTCTCAGCCAGCGATTATAATAATAATAATAACACACACACTCAACATAGCCCCGCACTAGGGAAACCCTGTGTCGCGGGTGCCATGGACACCCACATTGACAACCACAAATTACAACCAAACTTACGAGAGAACTAAATGTAGGCGATACAAACATTTCTCCCGGCCCGGGAATTAAACCTGGGACCTTTGCGTGGCAGTACAGCATGGTAACCGTTCGGCCACGGAGGCAGTTATTTGTAATTTTTGATTGATCAAAAAGATTGACTTTGTAATACTGTGGTGACTGTCCCAATCAAATCTGCAACTGTTCACAAAGGTCAGCTATGCTAAATATCTGGGAATTATAATTAACCAAAGACTTTCGTGGCATTCCCATCTGGAACTGATTATGGGTAGAGTAAGGAAACTTGCATGAATTTTTGAAACTTTAAGACACGTTGTACTGGGCGAGTCGGGAGACGAATAAAACGGCTGAGTGTCGGTTATGAACTGACTTATATTTTAAAATAAATGCGATTATATAAGGCTGCTTATACTAGACACGCTTACTCACTACAACGTAATGGATAGAGAGCTATTAACCAAAATGTATGTAGCGCTTGTTCAGTCAATTATTGTTTACTGTATACCAGTATGGGGTGACCTGCCAGGATGAAGTTTATTAGCTTAGAGAGAGTTCAAAGAGTCCTTTTGAAGGTCATGTATTTCAAAGCTTTTAGATTTTCTACAGATGTTCTATATAAGATCGGCAACCTCTTGAGTGTCGGAAAGCTGTACATTCTGAACATGACCAAAATAAACAAAATAAAGAAGAAATGATATCGTAGCATATTCACGCACTGTCCGAACAACATTTGCCAGTCGACAGTACAACTCGCAAGCTTGTTATGTTTACAACTCCATCAACAAAACGTTACGAATTTATCCCATGAAACAATATGATTGTAAGAAGGTGTTAAATGAAAGGTTGAAAACCCTTTCTTATGAGGAAGTGGAAAATCTCTTAGAACGCATATCGTAATTAACACACTACAAATCATTTAAACACATAACATGCACACGCTCACACACACACTCTCTCTCTTACACACACATACACACGCACGCACCCACGCATGCTCGCACGCACGCACGCACGCACGCACACACACACATACACACACACAAGTTTATGTACACATTACATACTGAAAATTTTTTATTATTATTTTTATTTTTTATTTTAATTTTTCCATTTTAAATATCATTCTATCTTAAAACTAACCCACTGATTTGTTGTGAATTTCCAGTTTTAAGCTTAGTTGCAAGGCTTTTTTTTTTTTTAACCGGGGGAAACTGCTTTTTTTTTTTTTTTTTTTTTTTTAGCCCCGCACTAGGGAAATCCTGTGTCGCGGGTGCCATGGACACACACATAGACAACCACAAATTACACCCAAACTCACGAGAGAAATAAATGTAGGCCATACAAATATTTCTCCCGGCCCGGGAATCGAACCTGGGACCTCTGCGTGGCAGTCCGGCATGGTAACCGTTCGGCCACGGAGGCAGTTAAAATATCCTGGCCCCGCGGGGGCAGAGCCGGGGTTATGTGGGAATGGGCTGAACCCTGAAGGGGAGCAGCCCGACTGCACTAAACCCACGGAGTGTTCCTCCTCTCCGCTGTAGGTGGGGGTACGGGTACGCTGTTGCACTCGTCCGCACCCCCACCAGCGGCTGGCCGCGCCCTGCGCAGCCTCTCCCCGAGAAGGGAGAGACATCGGTCCCCCGACTCCGAATGTGAGGCTCACCGAACACCAGACGAGCCTTCCATCCCGGGCCCCTTTATGCTGGGCAACGAACTCCCCCGAGTCCACTGCCCAGGGGCCATGGGGGACCAGGTCAGCATCCACTCAACTGTGAAGTTCAGTGGCTGCTCCCCCAGCCCCCGCGGCGGATCTGATGGCAGGCTCCGCCGCAACATCTAACGTGCTTCCGCGCGGACTCACCGAAGAGAGTCCCTTGGAGCGCTCACCACGGGCCAACCGCCCACGTTCGGTCGCGGAGAATAGGAGGAGCGGCAACGACACACCGACACGTCTCTTCCCCCGCGGCCCCGCCGCCACTGCATCATAGAAAGCGGTGCAGCCCGCCAGGGTCGCGGAGTACAGGACGAGCGGCAACGACACACCGACACGTCTCTCCCCCCGCGACCCTCCTCCCAACGCGCATCCGCGCGGTCCCGCTGACCAGACGAGCCCCGCGCGGAACGCCCTCTTCCTCGGGCCAGCCTACCACCATCGGCCGGCCCCGTGGGTTCCTCTTAGCTTCACCGTGGGATGAAATCGACCACGGCTACTAGAGCCCCCCCGCCACGACAAGGCGGGAACCCCTTCGGGGGGTTAGTTGCAAGGCTTTCCCAACACAAGCATACATTTGCTTAATGGGAGAACCTGATCTACCATTGTTGAACCAAATTGAGAAATAAATAAATTTTTAAATTTTAAATTTTTTTTTTTAATTCTCTAGGAGAAACGTAAAAGAAATAATTTCTTTTACGTTATTTTCTCGGAATATTTAAAGCAACTGCAACAACCAACGTTTCATTCTAATTTCCTGTGAAATTTCAGCCTGAAGTGACAAGAAATCCTAACTTAAACTTAAGTTGGACTTTGACTCTTGATTCCAGTTATTGTCGTGTTTAACAGACCAAAGTACACGGAAGTTACGTTCTATTTGAACGACGAAGTATAAGATTTCTATAATTTCTGACTTTTGTCTGCGATTCGCTTATTTGTTGCTCAGACCAATTTATTGCATGTGAAAGCAGATACACGCACTCATAAACACATTCTTCGTCAAATTATTCCATTTTTTTAAAACATTTAAATGTCGATGTCACTTTACTTTTTCTGTTTCAATCGGGTATCTTCGACTAGAATTGCCGGCGCAGTGACGGTGCGGGGTTGCCGGAAGACGTATACAAACCTCGTAATCGTATCTTTGACTGCCTCAGCGGCCGAATGTTTACCACACTGGACTGCCAGCAGAGGTCTCGGGTTCGATTCCCGGGCCGGGAGAAATATTTGTCTACATCTATTTCTCTTGTGAGTTTGAGTGTAATTTGTGGTTGTCCATGTGTGTGTCCATGGCACTCGCGATACAGGGTTTCATTAGTGCAAGGCTATGAGTGTGTGCGCTATTATTATTTAAGTTTTTTACATTGTATGTTCATGTTCTGGACACCCAAGCAATTACTAATATTCAAATACTAAGTCTTTTCAAGCGCGTACAGGTTGATATTTAAAGTGGCTTTTTACTGTGTTAAAAAGTTTCTCAATATAACATGAATGACTTCGTAGCCTAGGCTTTAGAAAAAAGTACAATATCGTAACATTCAACCCCATTAAAAGCTTTTGTTGTGAAATACCTCTACGCGGAATATACATGTATTTAAATCATTTAAAACATTAACATTTTTCATTTATTAGTTCAAAATTTTGAATTTCTCGAGTCCCCTTTTTATACAAAGTTTGTAGTTTCGTTCCAATTGCCAATAAATTAAATTTTAGTCTGGGCACGTTCATAAGCGTGTTAAATTAATTTTGAGTTATCGAAGGTTGAAAACATGTAGCAACCTTCAAACGATAATATCGTCCGTGTTATTCAGTAGGTCACTTTGGTTTTTCAGTAGGTCACTGACTTACTCATTATCACTGTGCTAGTCTGATCTTACAATAAAAATACAATTTTCGAAATTGGAACAAACTGAACAAAAACGCCGCTGTTGGTTGGGAATCAAATGTTCATTTGGCGGACTTTATTCAACCCGAGGCGCGAGGCCGTGCGTCGATTCCTTCGCGTATCCACTTGATTTAAGGGATGCACGTAGACATTTAGACAGTTGCGGTCACAACCACTTAAGGTTTATAGGTAAATTTAAAAAAGATGATAAAAGAGATCGAAATCAATACCCAAGAATTGCCTTTTCAAAGGCACGAAAATTCGTGTCGCTTAGAAAATGCGAATTTAATTTTTATTCTAATGCAAAATTATTTGAATTGACCCGACCTATCTTATCCAATCAATCCTGTCGTTAAAACCTCATAGTTTCACAATTAAAAACAAAGCTTAGGAAAAAAAATCGTTTCATGAATAAAAGTTTTGTTTTAATGGTAGGAATGTCATTAATAATTATTAATAATCTCGTACATCTGTGAATATGCAGCGCATATTATTTAGTATCCGTTGCTTTTGTCTTATATTTCGAAATGTCAACAAGTGCTTACTTGTGTCAATTCAATAAGATGCACGGAATCTGTACAACTACAGTAATGAGCAACACATTATTTCTCGCAGTTGTATCATGTTATGAGCTTATGGACAATTTGTTAGGCCCTACTGACATTCGCTCTCGCACTTTTCATGGCCCAGTGGCAGCGCAAGGCAGCGACAGCGCTGATTCACCTTCTTGGACCTACGAAATTTGCACTTTGCAGTATACAAACATCACTCGACCGTGAAGCAAGTTCGCATTTTACTCAAACTAATTTACCTATTTAGTTATACATACATTCCTTCTAAACTGTGTTAATTGGAAATCTTATCAATGCAGCGGTCGTTTTTTAATTTTAAGGTAAGTATATCAAAACTAAGCTGCTTTTAAACACCTCATTTGCGCACCACAAATTAGGTACGAACATGTTCATTGCTGAGACGGAGATAAAAGCGCAGTGATGCTGTTTTGTTTTCTAGTTATTTTTGTCCTTTTGTAGAGCTCCCGACGACTATATTACTTTAATCGAGTAAGAATGTTTTGTTTTTAAGGTACACAAGTCCATTTGTTATTATTTTATGTCAAGGGTTGTACATTTCTAATTTAACTTTTAATTCATGATGACTAAGTTAAAAAGGTCAACATGTATGGTTTTGCATACGTAGTCTAGTCACGTACATGCCCGCTCTGATAATATGGATCCAATTTATAAGGTTTTAGCTATAAAAGCACTATATATCCAGAATTCTATGGCCATTTCGTCGAAGCTAATGATTTGTGTGAGTGCTAATTCAAAGTCTCTAGCTAGAATAAATAATGTTTGAGATCCTGACAATTAAAGATTTACCGTATTTGCGTATAGTACACACTCGGTCATTTGAGTGCAAATTAAGAGGATCTAGCTGTGATTGTGAAATGATGGTCTTTAACAAAACGTGTTAACCGAGTTTAGAGTTCAATTACGTAGTTCTGAGAACGGTATCTCTGTTAATTAATTGCCAACAAACATAATAATAAATAAAAAATAATAAAAATCTCAAATAACGCAATTTCTGATATCCTACAGAAAAAACATGAACACACACACAACCATAAGGTGTTGTGTGTTGTCACTAAAATACAGCTAGCGGTAAATTGTACTCACGGACAATTCCTCAAATTGACAATATTAATGTCTCCTACATAAGGACATCTGCGAAGACAAATTGCATAGGCCAGAGGCTTGTCTACTTTCTAAAACTAGACATAAATGTAGGATACAGGTGTTTTCTTATTTTGTATATATTTGTTTAAATTCAACACATTAACCTTGCCAAATGAGTGAACTAACAACGCATTAATTATACCCACTCGCCACTTTTATCAAGTCGCGTCATGGTGAACACAAATAACTGGGTAACCTTTATAATATACCTAATTACCTCGCGTCTGTCCGTAGCAGAAGGGATCATTAAACCACGCCCCAAGTAGTTTAGCATATCATTTATACCATATCAATAGGGTTCCTCCATTTTAAGGCTGGTTATAGGCGTATAAAATTATTGTAGTTACAAAAATTGTGGTTTGCAAACTTTGCCAGGCATATTACGATAGCACGAGATTTTTGTTGTTTTTTTACTGTTACTGTTACTGTATAAATGTTTTTACTGTTGACAGATGCGGACGAACCTCATTGTGCTGCTAGGCATGTTACAACTCCGTCAAGTGTACAATCGACCTCAGAACCAAATCACCACAGAACAAAACACCAAACATATCAAAATAGCTAATACCCATGGAGCTCTACAAAAATCAGAAAGAAGGAAAAAGGATTTTCCGCTACCGTTCACACAGTACTTGGTGCCGAACTTGCACGTCATTCCTATTCAAAATGTGTACAACAACCCGATACAACAAAACAGGACTTTGTTTCCTATCTATTCCTACATTCCTGTGCATCATAATTACTTGGTGCCGCTCCAAGAGCTGACTGTGATCCCATTAAACAGGGAAGTACTGCAGAAAGCTCCGAGAGTGGACAGTGAAGAAAACAGTTTCAGGACTTATTATGGTGGTTACGGAAACGGACTGAGCTGGGGAGGCCGCGGGGCCGGACACGGCTTCTATGTCTTCGGTTACACTCGATAGTGCATTCTCAAATAAAGAATTGGTGTTTTTAAATATTCCTTTTTATTTTGCTTTATTTGCATCGTTTTGAAAAGATCCGACTTTAAAGAACTAGGATTCAATTCAATGAAAAATATTCCTTATTTGCATTCCACAAATTTCCAAGTGTTTCCACTCGTAACTCTTTATCATCAAGAATAATATGTGGTTCCTCAGGATAGTAAGTAAGTATCCATAGTGATTCTTTATTGTTACAAATCTGTAGTATTTGTCTCGATTGTTACAAATAAAGTGACGTAATCAATAATGCCAACACTTTTATGATTTCGTAATATTTTTACAATTTTACAACTTACCTATTAAATAAGGACGCCATAAAGTTGCAATAAAACACAAGTTTATGTATAAAATTGTTTGTTCCTGTGTATAACATTTTATAACTATACGTGTTTTGGATTTCCTAGTCGTAACATTCTAAATAATAAGAAATAATGATTCACAAGTTTTATTTAACGTTATTTGTAGTATATTTGGACCGTAGCGAGTGTTCGCATTGGACTCTAAACAACGACCCTATTTTAAACTCAGTCGTACGTTAAATTAATTACTAACTGTTTGGCTAACTGAGACGCAGCGAGGGCAGACCGCACGCGAGGTGCACCGATCACCTGGGCAAGATCGGCCGTAGGAATCCGCTGGGCGCAAGTAGCACATGAATTTCCGTAGTGGCGATCAACTAACGACCACAAGGTCGACAATCCTTCCGATTAAAACGGCGGTTATAGCAAATCCTATTTTTGGAAAAATAGTTTATGCATTCAAATACTATATTTACTTAAGTACATATCAATGTTTTTAATGGTTTTTGTTTTCTCAAATTGTAGCATATAGAAGTTTCACAATACTCAATTATAATTACGGTTGTGGTTCGAATGCAGGATCCGTTCAGCGTGCATATGACCGAAGTGCGCAAATGCCGGGGCGTCAAACACACCAGCTGTGACGGCGTTCACTACTCAGTCACCATGGTCAGCCCCATTGCGTTGGATGTGGACATACATTTTGAGCGCGAGTTGCCGTCGCTAGAGGTGTTGTGATCACGTCTCTGCTTCTTACGCCACTAAAACGAGAGCCTTACTACTTTATGTCTTACTCTTACTATAATATCGATACTTTAGCGTATACGTATTTAGGTGTTTCCTATACCATACATGTTTATCATACATTTGTTATATCCAGGCAAAGATTGTGTGGAAAGGTGGAATGTTTGCGGAAACTCACACGATCAATACGAGATCTGTGTGTCACGACATGTTCCTGAGGCAAATTCTGGAGCACATACTACCCATTGAGCAGTGCCATCTCCCCGCCGTAAGTACCTCAAGCTTATATCAGAGATGCTATTCCGTACGTAGATAGTGTTGCTCTAGGGATATAATAATTTGCTGTTGGTTCATTACCATGGATAGGTTATGCGTGGACGGAAACACAGTTCCAACTTGAATGGAATTCTTCGCTTAGCATAGGTACCTACACCTACTACCTAATACTTACTAGCAAAACGCAGGTTTTTATTCCGAAATCAGTGTTTCTTAGTTACACAGGGCACACTATAAGTTTCCGGAACGGGCCACTTACATAAACAAAATTTAAAAAGTAATTACAACATTTGAAAATGGAACTCTTTGGCTGTAGAATACAGTTTGTTTCTTCTGACTGTCACTTGTTTTTATATATTGGCGACATTTTAGAAATTGGTTGTCTACATCACCATAGATTTAACTCGTGAAAATTTTCATAGTATGATTTTCTACGACTAAGTGTAATTTAACAGCTCAGCGAAGCTTGTCTCGGAATCAAACTGCTTTTGGCGATAAAGCACCAAGCAAACCGTCTATTTATAGCTGGTTTGCAGTATTCAAACGCGGTCGTGCGAATCTCAGTGACGAATTTCGTGATGGTCGATAGGCATCAGTCAAATACAATCAATACTACACAAACATTTGGGTGAGAAAAAGCTGTGCTCTCGGTGGATCCCACACAATTTGACTGAGGCTCAAAAAACGGATCGCGTCACTTGGTGCAACGCCATGCTTACCAGATTCAACGAAGGGGCGTCAAATTTGGTGTGGGACATAGTAACAGGTGACGAAACATGGATCCGAAAACAAAGCAGCAACCGAGCGTATGGGTCTTTCCAGATGAATGCCTCTAAGCGGATGATTGCTTCTTTTTTAATAAAACTGGACACGTGGCTACTGTTGCTTTGGAGAAACGTTCTACCGTGAATAGTGATTGGTACGCGAGCATTTGTTTGCCGGAAGTTATTGACAAACTCCGTTAAAATTACCGTAAACGGTGTATTATTTTGCACCACGATAATGCCAGTTCTCACACGACCAGACAGACAAATGAATTTTTGAAGGTGAACACCGTTGACCTTATGAACCATCTCGTGTACACTCCTGACCTGGCACCTTATGACTTTTATTTATTTCCAAAAATTAAGAACCAGTAACGCAGTCAACGATATACATCACCTGAAGAGACTGTCCAAGAGTATGAAAAATATGTTTCGGAGATTGTCACGGAGAAGTGGCATAAATGTTTTTAAAATTGGTTCATTCGTCTGAAAAAGTTCATTAACGTAAACGGAGTATATTTTGAGAAACAATAAATTTATTTCCAACCATTTCTATAATTTTTTTCTTATTCATTCCGGAAACTTCTAGTGCGCCACACGTATAAGGCGCCCGAATTGTTTATTATACATTCTATCTCACCGGGATCGCGTTACGATACGACGACGACGACGAATGGTTCACATAATTATTATAGATTTTCCGACACGCAAGTGATAAGTGTAGATTAAACTTCACATAAGTCGTGAAGAATGAAACTTGAATCTCCTCGTCATTGGCCATCCTCGGCATGAGAGGGGAGCTTTTTTCCAAGTAATACTCATTTATTTTATGATTGTAGGGTCGCTATAAAGGGAGAATAAACATTAATGAGACAGCACATTACAACTACGATGGCCGAACGATGTTTCCTGGAAAATACGTCGTGAAGAGTTCGTTCTACACCAATCATTGTAACGTCTACTGCCTGCTCGTGGATTTGGTCGTCACGAAGAGTCCTCATCATCGGCTAGCGACGTTGTATAAATAACAATTAGAGTTCCACTTCGTACATCGAAAATATGCATTTAACGGATACATATGGACCATCAAAGAAAATCTTAATTTTCTTCACTAACAATAGAAACTAAATAGACAATTCGCTACGGATATGGGCCCTATTTTTGGTTTGAGAATACTATTAAAATATTCTTCAAACTATTAATCTACCTGTGTTCCGGGATGGAACATAGGTATGTTGGTGTCGTGAATCATGCGAGATCCAGGAAACATTTGGTGTGTAAACGAACTCATCATTTTTACCCACATTTATATTGTAGTACCACTGCTTTATCTTGTGCTAACTTGTTGTTTTGGCACTATTGAGGTAGCAGTGACGTCAAGGGCAGTTAGTGGCAATGGAGTGCGTTCAGGTCAGTAAAACTAAAGACTTGCTAAGTTCGTGAAATGTACAATATGAAACCAACAAAATACCGATCTTTTTATGTACTGTTTAACATTGCGACTTGCATGAACTCGGTGGATAGGCACAGAGCTCACATTACTATCGTGTTTATTAATATAACAATTAATCTTAACTAATATTACAAATGCGAGAGTAACTCTGTTACGTTTTCACGCCTAAATCGCTGGAACAAATGTGATGAACTTTGGTACAGAGAGAAATATGGGACCTTGGAGAAGGACATAAGCTACTTCTTGTCACAAAAAGAAATCTTAAGGTGGGTGAAATAGGATATGAAAGTGTGTATGGAGGATCGGTCATTTCTTAAGTTTATGCTTTGTGTAAGAAATATACGGACGCTGGAAAGGCTAAAGGGCTAACGTGCATTTGGACTATTTTAGAGGAGAGCGATTTAAGGATTTTTTTTCAAGAAAAAAATCATAACTCTGATTTTATTTGTTTTATGGAAAAGTGGCCTACTGAAAAGTTTTAGGTGTTGTTGAGGTACAAAATGCTTTTGACTTTTTTTATTGCTAAAATTTGTTAATATTCGAATAAACGGTGCGTTAGACAATTGGGTTTTGTCATCAGCCCGAAAAAAGGCCAACGTACCTATTTCTACATAAAGACGTTACGGATAAGGAACTACCGTATATTTTATGGTTTAGTGACACCCTGAAAATACCTTACTAGTGGGATAAGTCAGATTCAAAGTAAAACAAAAGACATAACACAATTCCTTGGGCATTATGATTCTTTAACATAAACACTTAAGATACTAAAAAATGTTAATGTTCATGCCTGTCCTTAACTTTCTGTTTAATTAATTCGATATTAAATAACAAGTGACATGTCATAATAAAATATAGTTATTTAAAATAAAGACAACACAAAAGAACAAAGAGACCACACATAGAAAAATGACATCGCAAAATATATTAGAACTTATAAATCGCTTGAACGCTTCGATGGAATCCTTACAATATCCACATACTTAAAACATAGGTCCCCGGTAATGAAAAGGGAAAGGCGGAATTAAATCATGCAATTCCATCGCATACTCTCCGTGATATATCCTACAGAATACCATAAGCAGGCAACTTCACGGCGCTGTTCAAGGCAACTGTAGAGGCAAAAGAACTGGTGGTGCTACTGACAAGCTGGGAAAGGCTTAGTGTTAGCGCAAGTTTGCGCGTCTCTCTCCCAGCATGATTAGTCATCAGGTATGGGAACAACCATTCTTGACAGTGAGCATTAAAGTACTCTAAAATGACTAGCTGTGCCGCTGGGTATCCATGCTGAGCCTATTGAAATTGACTATTCTGAATCTTCGCAGCTGTCAACGATATACGACTGGTTTGTTCTGAGATATTGAAGGATACAACTTGACGCGGTCATACCAACTACCCCTACATGTAACTAAACTGGAGTAGTCGACAACCTTGCTACCTCCCATCCAAACTCAACCAAAGAGGATTCTCTACTGAAATATGAAGTCGTAACTCTCACCTGTCATACGACAAAAAAGGTACTCCGATCCGGCTGAAATTTTATACGTTTTTATGTTTGGGTGCTCGTAATAAGAATATGCGGTCAAATTTTTGATTCCGCCATTTTCTAACATGGCCGCCATATATTTTCCACCGACAACTATGCTTTGAGGCCCACATCTCGGCGAGTGTTGGAGATAAATGCGCTTAAACAAATGTCATACACGGTACGAGACGACTGCGAAAAAAAAAATTTCGAGGTGGCGGACTCAAAATGGCGGCCCGAAATAAAAGTGCTCCGATCCGACTGAAATTTGAAAACCGATCGTGTATGGAGGTTCATAGTATGTATCTGCAAGCGAAATTTGGATCCTGCCATTTTCCAAGATGGCCGCCATACCTGTGAATTTTCGGTTTTTTGACCAGCATTTTTCTCCCAGAAGAAGAGCGGGTATATAAGAGTATTAGTATGCGAATAATGGTTGGGTTGATTTGGTGAGTATCAGAAAGTATCAAAACCTTCGAAAATGCTCCGCATCAGGTAGGACACCACCTGCACGGGCGAAGTATAAGTTTTAGCCCTGAGGTCTCCAAATAAATGTTGCTTGGGCAGTTTCTACCGGGAGTAAAAAAAACAAAATTCGCAAAACAAAATGGCCGCCATTCCCACTCAAAGTCAAACAAAGAGAATTCTCTACTGAAATATGAAGTTCAGCTCCCAATTTGTCACCAGATACAACGAAAGCCCTCGTGCGCCGCTTTAGCGGCATCTAGTTGTACTCTATGTAGCTGGATTACCACTGACTGACTGACTGACTGAACCAGTGATTTAGATAATTGTTCTCCCAGAAACAGTAGCGGTGGGTAAAAATGATGTACGGGAGTCGTGATCGGATGGCTCCGGTGAGTACCAGAAATCTTCGAAAAGTGGACTGCATCAGGACCCCGGCAGCGCGGCCAAAGTATAACACCTACCGGCAGGGTCGTTAAACTAAAAATGGCTACCATCTTGGTCAGTTTCCACCGGAAGTGAAAAAATTCAAAATTCGAAGAAACAAGATGGCCGCCATACAAATTTCAGAGCCTTATCGCTCAGCGAATATCGGAGATAGGCGGAGGGTCCTCGACCAAATGTCAAAGAGAGCGATGGGGGTCAACTGCGAGTAACGAAATTTTTTTAAGATGGCCGACTCAAAATTGGGGCCCAAAATAAAAGTGCTCCGATCCGGCTGAAATTTGGCATCCGGTTGTGAATTAGAATATGTGGTGGCCGCCATACATATTTCGGGGGCCCGTATCTCGGAAACTATTGGAGATGGGTAGATGGTGTTTAAATTAATATTGTAGAGGGCAACAGAACCTAACTACCGAGTTCTTAGGTTTTCGCGATTGTTACACATAGGAAATGAAACTATTTTTCCGGATTTAAATCGCGTATAATTTGTTTTTTCAAACAAACCGACGTTTCGGGCCCTTTACAGGTCCCATGGTCACGGTTGACTGAGGTGGTACAGTCTTCAACCAGTTATGTCTAATATTAATGCAAACCATCCTATTTTTTCACTGTAGTTACAATAGTTATTAATTAAATACCTTATTTTTAATTTTACAAAGAAAATATTCCAATTTACGCTACATTAAGTTATACAAATTATTTTATTGAATGAATTTTTATTAAGTTTAATTTATTATTAATTATTGACAGAAAGTAGAATAAACTAAAACATATTAATTAGTACTGCAGTCTGTTTGGGATTTTTCATTAGAGGAAATACTGGATCCCAAACTGGTGGTACGGAGAAACCATCTTCCCTGTTGAAATTAGGATGTTTTTTAATTTCAATGGCCTCTCGCAGCATCCTGGGCAGATAACGGACTTCTTTTGCAAGAACCTGGGGTTTGTAAAACTTCATTGAATGTGTAGGTTTATCCATGACATGCTCGCAGACTGCAGACTTGTTTACGCGACGGTGTTTGACATCAGCTATATGTTCTTTGACGCGGGTACAAATACTTCGCTTTGTTTGTCCAATATAAGAGAGACCGCACTCACAGTCAAGCTTGTAAACTCCTGCATCCTGTAAGGGGATGTTACATTTCACGGGTCTCAGGAACTGAGAAATCTTCCTCAGGGGCTTGAAATAGGTCTTCATAGATGCACGCCTGAGGACTCTTCCGATCTTGTCTGTAACATCTCTCACGTAAGGTAAGATGGCAGGTCTTCGCTCGACTGTTGGTGGTATCACACGGGGTCTGCGGCATTGGCGTGGAATCCTCAACTTATTCGCATGTAGGACTTGCTTTATATGCTGAAGTTCCCCCGCCAGATGATTACTGTCGCAGACACCATATGCTCTCTGAAACAAAGATTTGCCCACGGTAGCTAACTGGCTAGGATGGTGATGGGAATTACCATTGAGGTACCTATCTGTATGGGTTTTCTTTCGAAATACAGTATGGCCTAAGGTGTTATTAGGATTTCTTTTAATTAAAACATCTAAGAAAGCTAAAGTACTACAATTCTCTTGTTCCATAGTAAATTGGATCTTAGTACTAAAAGAATTAAGATGGTCCAAGAAAGAAGGTATGCTATCTTTAGGTAACGTTGTGTAAGTATCATCAACGTACCATTTGAAAATCTTCGGCCTAGCTGGGGCCATGGGTAAAACTCGCTCCTCGAAGTCTTCCATGAAAATATCGACAATAACGGGAGATACCGGGGAGCCCATCGCTATACCGTCAATTTGTAGGTAGAATTCATTATTCCTCAATAGATAGCCTGATGTTAGGCAGTGTTCTAATAATTCTGCATATTCAATGGACATATTATGTTCCCTTAGCTTCCTACGTACAATTTCAATGCAGTCTTTTACTGGTAGGTTGGTAAACAGCGACTGAACATCAAAACTGACCATGGTGTCATCATCAGTTAACCGTAGATCTTTGATTCCACTGATGAAATGGTATGAATCCTTCACATGTGTAGAAGTGTTCCCTCTCAATGGTGACAGTACCTTTGCCATGTGTTGAGCCAGTTTGTAGGTTGGTGTGTCAATCTGGCTAACTATGGGACGGAGTGGGGTGTCAGCCTTATGTATTTTTGGTAACCCATACAGTTTTGGTGGTTTCACGGCGCAGGGCACAAACGCACTTACATCAAGTTTCAGCGTACCGGAGTGCTTAGATATTAAGTTAGTTGTTGTTTTTAATATCTTGGTGGTAGGGTCTTTCTTCGCCTTTTTATACGTGCTTTCATCCGATAGTAAGTCAGTTATTTTGCTGTTATAATCTGACGTATTCATGACCACCGTCGCGTTACCTTTATCTGCACGAAGGATGACTAATTCAGGATCTTCGCGGAAGGTCTTCCGCGCGTAATATTCATCTCGAGTAAGATTCGGTCTGGGCTGTTTATTTGAACGCAATATTGACGAAACGTCTTGGCGTATTGCCTCCAAATCTTCCTTTCTCATGTTGTTTTTAACTAGACAATCCTCAACGTTACAAATAATTTCTTCATATGGAACACGACGAGGAGCCACTGCGTAATTCAAACCCTTTTGCAAATCTGAAAAAGCAGACTGATCTAACGTTTTGTTCGATAAGTTTATTACAGATCTTCTTCTTCTTCTTTTTGCTTAATGGCGCTACCCTTTAGATTTCGCCAGTATCGAGTTTTCCGCTTAGTAATTTTAAGGGCTTCTGTAGACTCTGCTATTCAATGAGTATTGTGACAGCACAATGTGATATAAAAAAAATTCCTTTCCTATTTAAAGCTGTTGAATTACCTGAAAGGGACGGAGAACAATATATATAGACAAATGTTAGTATGTAAGTGTGTTAGGCAGGACAAACAAATTATAAATTTATGTTATTGCTGGTTATATAATCACAAAGGACATTGATGCAAGTCGTATCCACAAGACTTAAAATCGTATTGAAATTTGTGGGTTTGAGAATGATTGAGGGAAGGACATCGTACAAGGAGACTGGGTACTTGTTACAATTGAAGAAAATGTGATCCGGAGTTCCCTCGTCCAGCCCGCATTCGCAAAGCGAGCTGTCCCTTACCCTAATTTTAGCTAAGTGAACTGGGGTGCTCGCGTGACCGAGCCTTAATCTACATATGGTCGAGGTGCAAAATTTGGATGCTTTGTTAAATTTAAAGAACCAAGGTTTACTCGGGATGACATTTTGAATGTTCGCATAATGCTTTCCTTTCACTTTGGTTCTCTCCTTCCATTCAACTTCCCATGTGGACATCATCTTTTGAGTTGCCAGTAAGGGCAGGTCATGAGAGAATACTTGAGAGTACGTAGGACATCCAATTTCAGTGGCATCTTTTGCCTTCAGGTCGACGGTCTCGTTACCTACTATACCAGAATGACTTGGGATCCAGGCCAAAGAGACTCTAATTCCTTGACTGAAGCAACTGTATAGCACATTTCTAATTTTTAAGATACAGGGAAAGTTGGATCTGTTACGAAAAGGATTGGACAGAATTGCCTGGAGACAACTCCTCGAGTCTGTTAATATGACAGTTTTATCTAGCTTATGAGACTCAATATAGAGAAGAGCTTCTAAGATAGCAATGGCTTCCCCAGTAAAAACAGAAGAAAGGGAAATGAAGGATAATTTTAAGTTTGGGTATCCAGACAGCAGCACCAACACATCCTTCATCTGACATTTTAGAAGCATCACTGTACATCACAAGCCAATCGCCCCAATTCTCATCGATGTACTTTTGTAATTGAGCTTCAGAGTTAGAGGAATTTTTGTTAATGCCTAAATTCAGTAGTATGCCGGGTTGATAGATAAGACCGAGATAAGGTATATCGAAGAGAGGGTTTAGGGTGCACTGATATACTGGACAGGGGAGCCTGATAAATTTAATAAAACTAAGAAACAGACAGGGTGCAGATTTATGTCTCCAGTACTTATCAGAGGATAAAAATTCTGATAATTGATGTAATTTACCTATAAGAGGATGGGATGAATTTTGAATAATTTTAAAAAGGAATCTGTCCGCTAAATACTGTCTCCTGATAGATAAGGGGGGTCCGCACATTCCACCTTTATTACAGATTGAGTTTGTGTTTGATCATTTGACAGTGACGTTGACGTTTCGTTACTTGTGCACTTCAGTTTAAGTTTATTAAATTTTTCAATCTGTGTTTTTTGGGATTGTTGAAATTTAAATTCTGATCGTTTATTTGTAATTTCAATACATTTATTAAAATCAGATCTGCTTAACTTTACCTCCAATTCTTTCAATAATTCCGTAATAAGAACCTAACTAGTTGTCAAAATTATTTTTTCAAAAGGGCCGATTCAAGACACGGCCGGTAATCTACCTATAGAAAACCGCTCGCAATAGCGGCCATCTTTTTTAATGAATAATGACATTTGTCATTTTTGTTTCCTTGCTGTGATTGGCTGCCGCAGGCGTAGGTAGCCTTTCCGCCATCTTGGGTAGTGATCGTAGTATTTTACACTTTGTTATTGTTTTGTTGTTTTCACCTTGTAGTGGCTTGTAGCTTGTTTGTACAGGTTTGGATCGAGTGAAAACGTGACGTGCTTATCTTCTCCGTTAATTCTGTATTGTGTGTTTGTATTTTGCTTCATACAAAATGTACGAGTGCTGTGTATGTAAAAGTTCACGACAGGACGCTATTTTACATCATTTTCCTCGCACTGAGAAAAGACTCATGAAGTGGTTAAAGTAACTAAATCGTGATAATCTGAAAAAGTTATCACCAGAAGAACTTTCAAACGTTTTTGTATGTCAAAAACACTTTGAAAAGAGGTTTATTACGCCGAAATTACGTCTCATAGGCAGTGCATATCCATCTTTGTTTACCGAAGACGAGATTTCCTCTGGAATACCATCACAGGACAATGCCGGTAAGTTTTAAGTACAGACTTTACTATAGCCTTCTAATCTCTACGTCCTAACAGACTTTTAATATGAGCTTAGCCCGTAGTTGCTTTGTAGAAATAAAATATTAATAACTATAACCGTCATCTAAGAAACAAATTCGCAATTGCCGACGTTGGTGTATCCAGTGTTAATAACTTATAACAATTTAAGTACTTACTTAATTTTAAAACTAAAGAAATAGTATTGAGTTTTCAATTGTTTGTTTATACCTGCATGTGTTAGTGTTTATACCCGGATGTGTCCTAGTTCGTAGGAATAACTTTTAATGTTATTAATATTAATTGTTTTATTTATTTTGCACTTACAGAAAACATGGATATTGATTTGGAGCATAGTTACTTGCGTAAAAGACACTTTGACCACACATACTTTCAAAGGGAACCACTAAAAGGTTAGTAATGCAGTTTGTATTACTGTAACATTTTCTAGTAAAACTGTTGAAATGGATTTATTGCATGTAAATTTATATTCTGACATATTGGCCCCTTTACTGGTTCGATATTATAGTATGCGATAATATAGTATACATAATGCTTGTTGCAAATAAATAGCAAGTTATTATTTTCAACTATCACCTATCACATTTATTTAACTCTCACTCATAAACACACAGAATACCAAAATACCTACAGGAGAGACTTGCATAAAATTATAGTGTGTAATTTCTCACGTTTCAGAAGTAATTGCCTCTAGCTCCAGTGAGTCTCAGAATGTGCCTGGCCCATCGCAAATTCCACTGCCTAAACAGGACTTAGGTAATGGAATTTTTTTGTTGGACTCAAGTTATAAAGGATAGTTAAGGTTTTAACGGTGTGTCAACTTTTCATTTTTTTACACAATTCTGAAGCAACTTGTACTTATAGACCATCAGTGAGTGTGGACAAATGGTGCTACAATCTCTCCCACAATACCTCGTTTATTGTAGATGTTAATTATGTATGTTTATTGTGATCTATTTTATAAACATCATCTATCTGTTTTATATGATGGAAACATCTTGTTTCTCAACAGTACCTAATTATTTTTCAGTTAATCCTGTAATCATTGAACCAGTGATGAATGAAGCATTTCAAGCCTCTGGTAAGTGATTTTGAGTTATTATTGTTGTATTATTACCACATGAATATGTTTGCAATGAACCTTTATTTACTCCATGCTGGATATGCAGAGGTCCTGAGTTTGTTCCCAGTTCAGACATTAATTTTCTTTGTATTATGTAACCTAGTATATTCTTCTAATAACCTTATGTATAGTCGAAAATAAATGTTTGGTTTTTCTCTTTGCAACTGCTCATTCAACAAACTTGTAACATACAACATAATATGTAAGTGTGCAGCTGCATGTTGTTATAATGTTTTACATTCCATAGAACTTGACTTCATCATTCACTTTTGTGTTTTCCAGGCTTGGATACAGTCAGAATTGCTAAGGATCCGAAACCTATGAGAAGACGTTTAATCACGAAAGTAAAAGATTTGTCACCAACATGCAAAAGTATTTATAAAGAATACAAAAAGTCTAAACAGCAGGCCGATTTTCATCGAAGAGCTAAGAGAGCCCTTCAGTTTAATAAGAAAATGTTGTTCGAAAAATTAACAAATAAAATGAATCCTTATGCAAAAAACAACAACAACATAACAAATATTGAGTTGTTTTATTTATTTTATTTTATCGTATTATTTTATATAAATGAACTGGAACCCCTAACCACCTTTTTTTTTTTTTAAAGTATGGATGTATACGTTCTGCTCCTTTGCAAGACAATATCGTCTACCAAAAAAAAAAAATGGAATGTCAGTCGACATTAGTATCACAGATTAAAAATAATTCTTACTACTGAAAAAAAAGTACTACAGTGAGCAGTCTGAACGTAGTTCACTAAGTAGTCTGTGATTCAAGATGGCGGCCCAACAAAAAAGTGCTCCGATCCGGCTGAAATTTTATATTCTTCCATGTTTTGAAGCCCGTTATACGAATTTGTGGTCAAATTCTAGATTCCGCCATTTTCCAATATGGTCGCCATACATTTCCCACAGTCCACTATGTTCCGAGGCCTACATCTCGGCGAGTGAGGGTTGGAGATAGATGGGATGCGCTCAAACAAATGTTGTACAGAATAGTACGTATACGAACAGAATAGTTCATATTGCACTTGTATTATGTTTATTATGTTGTATTGTGGTGAGAAAATAAATAAATTATTATTATTATTAGTACGAGCCAACTGCAGGTAAAAAAAAATCCGAAAAAAAGTAGTCCGATCTGACTGAAATTTGACAACCGATCGTGTATGGATGTTCATAGGATGTATCTGTAAGCGAAATTTGGATAACGCCATTTTCCAAGATGGCCGCCACACAAGTGAATTTACCGGTTTTTGACCAGCATTTTTCTCCCAGAAGAAGAGTGAGTATATAAGAGTAAAATATGCAAATAATAGTTGGGTAGATTTGGTGAGTATCAGAAAGTACCAAAAACCTTCGAAAAATGCTCCGCATCAGGTAGGACCCCAGTTACCCGGCTAATGATTTCGTCTTGGCCCCAAGGTCTCCAAACAAATGTTGCCCCACAACCTGGGCAGTTTCTACAGGGAGTAAAAAAAAATCAAAATTCGCAAAACAAAATGGCCGCCACTCCCACACAAAGTCATACAAAGAGAAGAAAGAGAGAGAGAGACTGACTGACTGATGTAGTCATTTAGATAATTGTTCTCCCAGAAGGAGTCGTGGTAGGTCAAAATGATGTATGGGAGTCGTGATCGGAAGGCTCCGGTGAGTACCAGAAGAATCCGAAATCTTCGAGAAATTGATTCCGCCATTTTCCAAGAAGGCCGCCATACATGTGAATTTTCTGCCCTTTGGCGTCGTTTTTCTCCCAGAAGACGGGCGTGTGGATAAAAATAGTGTAGGTGAATTATGGTCAGACAGATTTGGTGAGTATCAGAAGGTAACGTAATCTTCGAAAAGTGTGTGTCAAAGAAAAGTGTGTCTCCGCATCAGGTAGGGCCCCAACTGCCCGGCCAAAGTATGGGTCTTGGCTCAACCTATCCAAACAAACGTTTATTCACACCCTCGGCAGTTTCTACTGGGAGTAAAAAAAAATCAAAATTCGAAAAACAAAATGGCCGCCATACAAATTTCGGGGGCCGGTATCTCGGAAACTGTTGGAGATAGGTACATCGTGTTCAAACTGATATTGTAGAGGGCGACAGGATCTAACTGGCTGTCGAAATTATTTTTTCGAAATGGCCAATTCAAGATGGCGGCCCGACAAATAGGTCAACGACCTACTAAATTACAAAGTTTTTACCCTCCCGGTAGTTGCCTCCAATCAGCTGTGTTTTATGATGTAGGGTTAACAATACAGACTTTTCAAGTAAATCTTTATCATTATTAACTCGGAAACTATTACACTTAGAGTAAAAAGACTTTCAGTACAATTAATATATAATTAATATGTACATATTTAGGACTCTTCACAGTTTTCCGCTTTGTTGGTCGTGCTGTCCACCCTATCTGAGTCTCACACGCACAAGCCACCATTCAAGTTATATAAAGTAATCAATTATGATTCGTTTAAGTCAAAGTCAAAGACTATTTATTCCGTAGGTAAAATAAACTTGAAAATTTACACTTGAAAACGTCACATTTAAGCTACTGCTCGTTCACTA